TCTCTCTGTAGCCCAGGCTGGCCTCAAACTCACAGATTCACCTGCCTCTGCCTCCCGGGTGCTGGGATTAAAGGTGTGCACCACCCTCGCCCAGTGCCATATAGCTTTTCAATTCATGTAGTACTACTAGGCTACTGTTTGGTTCTACATACATTCCTTGGGAAAGTGTGCACAATTACCCGTCTTCTAGCTGTCCTCTTACCCTGCATACTTTCCTGGTACCCCATGGCTTATTTTTTAAGTCTTTCTTGGCTGTGTACATACACGGTAGAGCTAGAGCTAAAAGACTGAAGGCTAGAGGTGACATGGCTGGTCTTCTTTGGAACAACAAAGGAAGAGTAGTGTTCTCTTATGTGCTTGGGTACTCTTAGAGACACTGTGTTATTCTTATAGGGACAGTGATGTCATTTGTAAGGTGACAATTTTCCAAATATTACAAACAAGATCTGAGTGCTGAATCTGACACAGGAACTGCTTGCTAGAAATGCTATTTCTGTTCTTTCAGCTGTCGCAAATTATTCAGGAAAAATTAATTCATAGTATTTATTAACCAAAACACACAAACAAAACCACTGTGGACCGGTGAGGTGGTTGTGGGCAAAGGTACCAGCTGCCAGATCTGATGACCCTTGGGACCCACATGGTGGAAGAAGAGAACGGACTCATTCAAGTTACCTCTTGACCTCCACATAGGTGCCATGGCTTAGGTGACACTCCCATAAATAAATAATAATGTTTCTTAAAAACTACACTCAAGCTAAAATAAGCCCAACTCCAATTTAATCGAATACAGTCTATGTAATATGCACTCAACAGACACAAATTATATCAATTTGCATATCCATAAACAAAAACCTAACACAAACTTATAAAAGCAAAAAAGCATAAACTATACCTTACTTTGGGCATTTCTATCTAAATTTCATGATTAACAGCTCTGTAACAGTAATTTGACTTTCCAGCTTTTTTCCTATTCTAGCAACACTTTCAGTGAGCATATAAAAATTTTTCTCTCTAAATTTATCCAAAGATATTTTGCTTTTTCTTAACAAGCACAGGACGTTTTTTTCTAAAACATTTCACAGGAACCTGCAATGCAAAGCAGTTGCAGAGACGCAGAAGCAGTTCCTACTCTGCAGACTCCAGTCTCTTGGTAGTGCCTTTTCTAGGGTGCCTGCGTACCACCTCTGACCAGCAGGACACGGGGAAGTGCGTCTGGCCCCTGGTTTCATCAGCATCCTCTTGGCTGCATCCCAGTTCTGAGACATGTTTATATTGCTGTCCTGAGCATGCACTTCATACTCAAGAGTTCTCGTGTGTCAAAGGAACACAAATCTTATCTGGCTTCATCATAACTTTAAATCAAAGCTCCCACTATTGAGTTGCATCTAATTCTATCCACATACAGAACTGAGCTTAATGAGTAAAGATGTAACAGACAACAATGGCTAGTTTATAGCCTAGGCTATACCAAAAGTGTTTGCATATCCATCAGAATTTAGTGGGCAACTTAGTGAAAGGCCCCTGACCTGGCACCATGCCACAGCACACTAGTAAAGTTGTGAAACCCTAATTCTTAGTCTAAGAAGTATAGCTGGGCTGCCAGCTGGACATACTGACAGGTCAAGCCTTTTATTTTTATTTTTTTATACTGGCAACTGAACTCAGGCTTCCAGCACACTAGGCAAAAACTCTATCAACTGAACTACCAATTGCCTCACACACACTTTTAAGAGAGGGATGAGGCTGGCCTTGACTCCTGAGCCTCTTACTTTGTCCTGAGTGCCGGCCTGGGATCACAAGTATAAACCACTACGCCCAGATTAAAATCTTTATTTTTGTATGTCCTATCCCAAATCTAGTCAACGTAACAGAAAATAATAATCTGGACCAAGACTTCATAATCTACTACATACTATGAAAATGTACTAGTTAACCTTAAAAAAATGAATTAGAAGACAGAAAAAACTTTTTTCTTTTTTTTTTCTTTTTTTTTTTTTTTTTGGTTTTTCAAGACAGGGTTTCTCTGTGTAGCTTTGGAGGCAGTCCTGGAACTCACTCTGTAGCCCAGGCTGGCCTCGAACTCACAGAGATCCGCATGCCTCTGCCTCCTGAGTGCTGGGATTAAAGGCATGCACCACCATCGCCCGGCCAGAAAAGACATCTTTTAAGCTAATGGCCATGCTAGTTACAACCACTAATAAATATCACATATCACATCGGGCTGGGAAGCAAAAATCTTAAAAGATTTTTAACAAGCTAGTGAATAGGGCCCTCTTCCTCCAACTGCTTGGGATTGGGGATTGAACCCAGAGCCTCTGGAATGCTAGGCAAATGCTCTGCCACTAAGTTACAGCTTAATGTGGCCTTTTTCTAAGACAAAATAATAACTGCATCCATCAGAACAACTGGATTTAACAGTTTCTCAAAAACTGTTCAATTCTAGCTATGAGAAAAGTCATGACAATGTCTTTTTAAATGATGAAGCCAGACAAGATTTGTGCTCCTTTGACACACGAGAACTCTTGAGTATGAAGTGCATGCTCAGGACAGCAATATAAACATGTCTCAGAACTGGGATGCAGCCAAGAGGATACTGATGAAACCAGGGGCCAGACGCACTTCCCCATGTCCTGCTGGTCAGAGGTGGTACACAGGCACCCTAGAAAAGGCACTACCAAGAGACTGGAGTCTGCAGAGTAGGAACTGCTTCTGCGTCTCTGCAACTGCTTTGCATTGCAGGTTCCTATGATTTTTTTTTTTAATCCTATGCTTGTTAAGAAAAAGCAAAGTTTTAAAGTACTGAAGACTTGACAATGAAATAAACATATTTACAGGCAACTGTGTAGCACGAACAGTAACTTGGCAGAATGAGAATGCTGTTGAAATCATTGTCCTGATTGCACCTGCCAACTCTGTCCCGCAGTAGTGAAGGCTCCTTCAGCCTTAGAGTATCTACTTTACCATCAAACTGATTTTCTTTACTGTGACTGTGAGAATTGATAAACGGAAATGAAAACACAGTCATCATTAGGTATCCTAACCTATTAATTTTGTAACTCCATCTAACAGTTTCTCTCTTTCATGCCATAATAACATTACGATGTTACCTTAGCAGAGAATTCTTTTATTTCAGTTGAGTTCAGCAAATTTTCATACATCAAAAATTTTACTCAGCTAAATTTGGCTGGGTGAGGTAGTGCATGTCTGTAATCCACAACGCTCAGGAGGCTGACACGGGAGAATCATGAGTTAAAGGCTAGCCTGTGTCACACTAAGAATGCTTCCAAAAAAAGACCAGAGCTAATATGATGAAAGTTCCCTGTCTGTCAGGAAAAGCAGAAACATAAAACAGTAACACTACATAAAATCCTTCATCTAAAGATCGTCTTGACTAAAGAAGTCTACCTTCTGACAGCCTCAAAAGAGCAAAACTAAGAATTCACCTATTCTTTGAGGAAATTATGATTCCACTGAGCCTTCAATGGTATGATATACAGTCCATTTATGTAGACCCATTTAGAAGCTTGCTGCTGTCAGCAGTAGATGCTTGTTTGGAGTGGAAAATAACTAAAAACTGGGTTGGAAATGTCCAACAACCTATCTGAGGAGCCACGAAAGTAAAACACAAGCCTCAGTTAGAGTCAAAGGTTCCACGGAGTCACATTACCATTTCCCATTTCTATTAAAGTGAACACAAATTTTGGGATCAATACTTCTCTGGCAGAATTATGGCTTTGGTACTATGTCTTCTAGAAAAAGCACCTGTGTGCTCACTGTCCCTTTCATCAGCTGCCAGAAATAACCTTCCCTTACTACCCTTATTTTTCTAGAGCACTACAGAAGAAATACCATTCATGCAAAAAATCTGCAAAATAACAGTAGAATACCGGTCCTGAAAAAGCTGTCAAAATTACCTCTCAATTTTTTTTTTTAACAAGGGAACCCCAATCCTGGAGTTACCAATGGGAAGATCTTGTAGGTTCCTGGACTTTTGGTGTATGCCCTCTTAACCCTGGAATTTTCACGGACCATATTTCCACCCTGTGGCCAATATGCAGATCAATTCAAACCGTACACAGGTGTTAATAATTCTCACTGAATTATCTGTAAAATCCAAGCGTCCAAAAACCTCTTGCAGGTTTAATTTTTAAAACTGAAAGGTAATGTATTAAACCCTTTCTTAAGATTTAAACTTGCCCGACGTCTAGACCTTAAGAACGAAGCACAAAGAAAAAGAATAAACCACTCGCGTCAGAAGAAATCTGAGTGACATCTTTATTTTCAGAAATCACTACCCTCTTCAAACATCACTTCCTCTCCATTCGCCTCCCCCAGTCCCTGGACGCGAATCAGTGATGCATCCCCCGCTCCCCACACTCCAGATTCTTAAAAGGATCACAAACAAGAAAGCTCTATAGCCCACATCCACTACCCAGAGATCTTTGACGCTTTGAAAGACACTTACCTGTAAAAAAGCCAAGGCCCTAAATTAGATCCCCCAAGGGCTCCTTTTTCTTCCTGGACTTTTTCTCTCTAACCTTTAGGCCAAGAGACTTTCCATCCGACCCCTCCCTCTTTCCAGTCAACCTTAACTCCGGCCCTTCAAAGCCACCATTCCCATCGGGTCAGGTGGCTGTCAGTCCCCACCCGACTGCCTTGCCCTCGCGCCGGTTTCAGGCGGCCCGGGGCCAGCTCTTCCCATCTCTCCTCTCCACGGCCACAGCCCAGGGCACCTCCTCCCCCGGGTCCGGATTCCGGGGACCCCTCACATGTCCCTCCTTCACCAGCTGGGCTGCAAGGGCCCAGCCCCTGCGCCTCGCCCCTCGTTTGCCCGCAGGTCAGCTCAAGCCCGATTTCCTCCGGATTCCATTCCAGAGCGGCCTCCCCCGGCTCCCCCAACCGTCTCCCCGCGGCCCTTAGAGCCCCCGGCTCTCCACTCACCCTCGGCTGCAGGTGCCCCCCAATCTCCCCTCTCCTCAGCCTCGGAGTCCGCTCACCTCCGCGGTGGGAGCCGAGCTGCCCGGACCCAGCTCGGAGCCGGTGTCCGGGGCGCCGTCGGAGTCCGGGGTCCTCGGTGCGTCGGCGGAGCGCAGCGCCTCGAGCGGCAGACGCAGAGCCCGGGGAGGGGAGCCGGAGCGCAGGCGGGAGCCAGCTCGACTACGCGCGGGCATCGCTCCGGCCCCGTCGGCGCCGCGCCGCCAGCCGCGGCCAGCCGAACCGGAACTGCTTCGGGGGGCGGGGCGCTATCGGAGAAGGGGCGGGGCCAAAACCGGAAGGAAACGGAGGGGGAAAAAAACCCAGGAGGGAGGGAGAGCGCATGCGTCAGGTCCAAGTATAGGCAGCCAAGGATGCAAGAGTTCCTAATGTATTACTAACTGAGGTAGGGGCCTAGGAAGAGGCTATTCTGAGACCTTTGAAGGGGCAGGCTCCTCTTCAGCCAATCCCCAAGTAACGCCATTTATTGCCACTTTATTCTGACTGTCTCTGTGCTAGAGACTATAATGCCAATCGGTGTTTCAACTCTGAATCCCCAAGTAACCCCATTTATTGCTACTTTATTCTGACTGTGTCTGTGCTAGAGACTACAATGCCAATCGGTGTTTCAACTCTGAAAAGTAGATCTCACACACACAGAAGGGCCAAGAAACATTGTAGCCTGACATAGCACAGTTAATATGTATCCAAGCTGGTATTCCAACACCAGACTGTCGTCAGAACGTGTGTTCTTCACTGCACTACTATACCCTGCCCTAACAGAACACCCGCTTCTCACCCAAGACTAGGACTGGCAGAAACCACGACCAAAGCCATCTGCAGCTTGAATTCTAGGTCCAGTTCCACCCCCGCCCCCCGGAGCTGAGGACTGAACCCAGGGCTTTGCGATTGCTAGGCAAGTGCTCTACCACTGAGCTAAATCCCCAACCCCAAGCTAGACTCTTAATAGCAGGGGTAGCCAAGAATCTGCTCAGTGCCCTCATACCCTTCACGGTCTTCATGAAGCCACACGAGACAGGGCAAGACATCTCATCTCCCCGCAGCCCTTGTAGGCAAAGGACTCTTCCATCCTCAAAATGTTTCTGATGGGGGTAGAGATGTAGTTCAGCCGGCGGTGGTGGCGCACGCCTGTAATCCCAGCACTCGGGAGGCAGAGGCAAGTGGATCTCTGAGTTTGAGGCCAGCCTGGTCTGCAGAGCTAGTCCAGGACAGGCTCCAAAGCTACAGAGAAACCCTGTCTCGAACAGAGAGAGAGAGAGAGAGAGAGAGAGAGAGAGAGAGAGAGAGAGAGAGAGAGAGAGAGAGAGAGAGAGAGAGAGAGGTAGTTCAGTGATTAGAGCACTTCTTGCTGCTCTTGCAGGAGACCCAGGTTCTGCTGCAGGCCGCAGGAATATATCATAAGAACTCAACTGGTTATGGCAAAGTCACTACCTGGAGGGATCAGGGAATTCCTCCAGAGGAAGCCAAATCCCAAGGAGTTTTTGGTGTTACTTGGCTTGTTATATATCAGCTGTATTCTGTTATGAAAATCATGTGTGCCTTCATAGTTTTCCCAATTGACTTTTCCCTAAGAAGGGCTAACAGTGTGGACTGATCACTCTCTGGACATACACATTCCAGGTATTTGAAGAACAGCCTCGGGGAAAGGCTTTCTCTGGAATCAGATATCTCCCTTGGCCACTTTCAAGGACTACAGGAAACACCACCCAGGTGGGAGCCCAACTTCCGAGGATAACAGTGATAACAGCCCACCTGCAAGTCTCCTGACTTAAATTCCACAAGGAGACACCACCCAGGTGGGCCCCAACTTCCGAGGACTAACAATGATAACAGCCCACATACAAGTCTCCTGACTTACGGTAAATTCGACAAGGAAACACCGCCTAGGAGAGGTGGACGTTAAGTAATAGCTTTATACAATTTAGCTCGGACCCTCCCTTTATATACCGGGACTTCCAGGGCACAGGAGGGAGAAGAGAAAAGAGAATGGAAGAACTAGATGGGTAAGAACTTGAGAAGAACAAACTGAGATGGGGAAGAACTAGATTGAAGGGCTAGAAGAGAGTACTAGAGGAACGAGATGGAAGATGAGGAAGAGCCAGATGGGGAAGAACAAGATGATGAAGAACGAGATGAGGAGAGAGAAGGAGATGGCAAAGGAGATGATATGGGAAGGTGGATGAGAACCTAGAAGGGGCAGAACTAGTTGAGGGGATTAAGATAGAACCTAGAGGGGACCGCAGACAAGTGTAGAGAGAAATCAGGCTAGAAATGAGCTAAATATGAGAGCAGAATAAAAACTTGTAACTGACACAGAATAATAAAGTATATGGACTAAGGAGTTTCGTGTACATAGATTCATTTCTTCTCATCAAAGATTAATTATCAGGTGGTTGTAGATTCTTCCCAGACCCTGGGAGGGGACTATCGAGGGGCTGGACCCCCATAGTCCCCGATAAGGTTCAATCCCCTGCACCCACATTACACCTCACAACCACCTCGAGCTCTAATTCCAGGGGACTCCACACTCTCTTCTGGCCACAGGAAGCACTGAATGCACGTGACTCACACACACATATGCAGGCACTCAAACAAAATAATTTCGAAACTTCTTTTATTTTTTTATATGCATAAGTGTTTGCCTGCATGTATGTCTGTGTTCTTAACCACTGGGCCATCTCTCCAGTACCAATAAAATATTTTAAGTTGTAAAAATAATAAATCTTTTGCCGGATGTGATGGTACAGTATTCGGGAGGCAGAGGCAGGTGGAGCTCTGTGAGTTCGAGGCCAGCCTGATCTACAGAACAAGTTCCAGGACAGCCAGGGCTATTGCATAGAGAAAGCCTGTCTCAAAAAACAAAGCAAAACAACAACAACAACAAATCAGCTATCTTCATTATAGGACCATCCATCATTCAGATCCTCCATGAACTTTCTGGGCACACTTCAGACACTTTTCCTCCACGTCTCTCTAAGTTCCTCTGACCCCACAACTCAGACAATTTTGCGAGTGTTCCACACAATCTAAAGGCTCCAATCAACAGACATCAGGCTCCCATGCAGTTTGTAGCCCACTTAGACTAAGAGTCATCACTCAGCGCTTTAGCTCTGTCTTCAGAACCTAATAGTCTATGCAAGGGCTCTAAACCTATGTCGAAGCACCAAGGGTATGGTAGACACAGTGGACCTTTTGTTTTGTTTATCCCTTGAAACAATTCTCCAGGGCAGGTGTCTACTTAACTTTACAGAAGAAACTGATGGAGGCCGAGAGTGACTTACAGGGTCTAATTCCGTGTTCTCGGAGACTTTAGGGATGGGAGTTGGCACCAGAGACATCGGATGCCTTGCCCTCGTTGGGAGGCCCCTGGGACTTGCTGAGTCACTTTGTCCCACCTGTCGCTGCCAATCTTTGGGAAGGAGAAACACAGGAGGGCAGAGAAGAGTGAGCCGATGGCAGAGGGGTAGGCAGGCTGGCCCATGGCTGAGGCCGCCACCCCAAAACTGGGGGAAAAAGCAGAAGCCACACCTTGCCCCAGTGTCCTGCAGCTGGAAGAGCTCCTGAGGGCCGGGAGAGCCTCTTGTAGCCGCGTAGACGAAGTCTGGCCCAACCTTTTCATAGGAGATGCGTGAGTGGCTGCTGACAGGGTTGTAGGAGTAAGTCAAGGAGAAACAATCCTTGAACTCTTTACCAGAGGAGGTGGCAGAGAGGGAAACAGGAGAACTGGTTGCTGCTAGCCAGCCCCAAGGCCAGGAATTTTCGCCCGACTCCTAAGCGCCAGGAGCGAGTCAATGACCAGATTCTAACAGCAGGGGGAGCTTGAGTGTTTTTGTTTTGTTTCTTGGGAAGGTCTGAGGGAGTCCCTGGGGTCTTCAGGCACCTCTTAGACAACTGGCCAGTCTGGGAAGCAACACCGTTTGAAACATGGAATGGTGTAGACACGGAGCATAGGTTCTGGGCCCAGCTTGCCTCCTGTGGACACTGAGTGGGTGGAGAAGCCTGGCCTAGGATGAATCAAGAAAGGTGTCACTTCTAAATATTTGTAGATTAGTAGCAGGTGTGACGTGGTGACCAAGTGACTCTAGATGATGTATATGAATGAGTAAGAAGACATGTGGCAATAAGGGAGGGGCAGCTAGTTATCAAGGCTGAAGCAATCTCTTCCTGCCTGTGGTGGGGGCAGGCCTGCCTGAGACAGCAAAAGGGATTTAAACATACCCCCTCACCCCACCAACCCTACCAAGAGAAAGCTCTGGGGCTGAGACGGAAAGCTGCAGACCCAGTTCACTATAGATGAATTCTAGCTCCCTTTCTACCCATACAGCTTTACCCTCCCCAAATCAGGCATCAAACAAAGCTTCCTTCCTGACCCAGAGGCTCAGCCTGCCTCTAGCCCCCTTTCTGCCCTTCCCAGGGCCACGGCAAATAACCGCTTTGAGCTGTGGAAGTTGGGAATTACCCACGTGCTGAACGCCGCCCACGGGGGACTCTACTGTCAGGGAGGCCCTGACTACTACGGCAGCAGTGTGAGCTACCTGGGGGTACCAGCCCACGACCTCCCTGATTTCAACATCAGCACCTACTTCTCCTCCGCAGCGGACTTCATCCACCGTGCCCTCAACACGCCTGGGGGTAGGACTTGGGGCCCAGTCCATATTCCATTCTGCTCACTTGTGGGGAGGATATCCAATTTCCCCTCGATCCTCAGCATCCTCCCATCCCTAGTTTTTTGTCTTTTTTGTTTGTTTGTTTCTCTTTTTTGTTGTTTTAACAATACTCTGCTCTAGGCCTGAGCATCTTATCTAATGGCATTGCTTCACAGATGGAGAAAGTTAGCCAGGCAGTGGTGGAGCACGCCTTTAAGCCCAAGCACTTAGGAGGCAGGCGGATCTCTGAGAGTTCGAGGCCAGCCCGGTCTACAGATTGAGTTCCAGGGCAGCCAGGGCAACACAGAGAAGCCCAATCTCAAAACAAAACAAACAACAAAGATGGAGAAACTGAGGCCAAATAGCAAGGCCATAATGAATTAGGAGCAGCCACACTTCTGTTTTGTTTTGTTTTTTTGTTTTTGTTTTTGGGTTTTTTTGGTTTTTGGGGGGTTTTTTGTTCGTTTTTTTAGGAGCAGAGTTCTGGAGACTTTTTATTTTGTATCAGGGAAGAATGTCCTTTTATGGATCGGGTTCTAGATGTGGGTCTGACAGCACCCTCATAGGACCATCCCTTTCCTTGGGTTTGCACACAAAACACAACCAGGCCATGTGAGAACAGCCAAGGACTGTAGCAGCAGTCAGGGTGACAGATGTGGCAGCCAGAAATGAAGTGGCCCGGCACAGCTGGAGACAACCTGCCGCCGCAGGCCCAACTCGGCATTCCTGGCAGCCCAGCCGCTCTCTTCACAGTTCCTACTCCACAACAGGCAGCCCTGGGAGAGTGCTACATGGTACCCAGAATTCTGCCCCAAAGTACCTCCAGATGAACAAAACAAAACACCCAGGTATAACAGGCCTTGAGAGGCTGGAGCCCTTACTATATGTTCACCTTGGGAAACAGCCATGCCCCTTTGCTCGGTGACCGTGGGCAAGCCAGGCTCTGGGTTTCCATTTCCTCATTTTTTGTGTGTGATGAGGGATTTGGTAAGGTTCGTGGTGCTTTGTAATAGCCAGAGCACTTTGACGACCATTTTTTCCTCATCTGCTCATCCACCACCACCTAGTCATTATTCAGCCCGTGTCAGGGAAAGAACTAAACTCGAGGAAGCCAGACTTACGTCAGCCAAGGCTCCTGCTCTTGGAGAACCTGCTAATCAAACAGGGATGTCCTCTGAGCGTTGCTGATATGAGAGGGCAAATGTGAAGAGTGATGCAAACATCCAATCCAGAGGCCTATGGTGTCGGGGATTTCCTGACTACGGTAGTTTCTCTAGGCCACACGCAGAAAGGACAAAGTACTTGGTGATTCAAGTGATACCTTGAGTGGTGAGGAAAGCTGATGGAGGAAGCCACATCTGAGATGTGACTTGGTGGATGAGTAAAGGCTAGTCAGACCAAGATCAGAGGAAAGATCAGAGGCCATGACAGCTCCAAGGAACACCAAGTCTGCCTGTGTTCGTAGAGCTGAGTTTTGAAATGGGTTCTGATTCAGGTGAGGTGCATGGGCAGGATGGTTAGTTCTCAGGAGCTTTTGTTTTGTTTTGTTTTTCTTTCCCCGAGACAGCTCTGGCTGTCCTGGAACTAGCTCTATAGAGCAGGCTGGCTTCGAACTCAGAGATCGGCCTGCCTCTGCCTTCTAAGCGCAGGGATTAAAGGCCTGTGCCACCACCACCTGGCCTCAAAGGCTTTGTAAGTCCTGTTGAGGGTTTGGACTGTAGTTCTAGAGAGATGTCAGTCTACTCATTTGTAAGATCTGGAAACCGAGGCCCATAAAGGCTGAGGGACTTACACAGGGTCCCATAACACACCCAACACAGGTTGGGGAATGGGATTTGGGTTTGGGCCCTCCCCCTTGGGTGGGCTGGCTGTCGGGAAGGCGTCCATCCCCTGCATGTCTTCTTCAGCTAAGGTGCTAGTGCACTGTGTGGTCGGTGTGAGCCGCTCTGCCACACTGGTCCTGGCTTACCTCATGCTGCACCAGCGGCTGCCCCTGCAGCAGGCGGTCCTTGTGGTGAGGGAGCGCCGATGGATCTTCCCCAATCGCGGCTTCCTCCGCCAGCTCTGCCAGCTGGACCAGCAACTGCGAGGAGCAGGCCAGAGCTAAGGAGCCAGGTAAGGAAGGGCAAGGAGGCCACGCTGTGTGTGGCTGGCAGTGAGAAATCACCTGGGAGCCCGGAGAGGGAGCCTGAGATGAAGCTGGTTGGCCAGGCTGCCTGTGGCTGGCAGTGAGGACTCACTCACTCTCTTTCTCGCGCTGCTGGGCTCCCCTTGCCTATCCAGGGCCTGGCAGGCCATCCTCCCATCTGGATCCTTTAGCTCTCCAGAGAACACAGAAAGATGGGAGATGGCTCAGGAGGCAAAAGCACTTGCCACACATGCGCGAGGACCCGAGTTTGAATCTCCAGAACCTACCTAAGGCTGAGCCTAGTCGTGCCTGGTGAGATAGGAGACCGAGACAAGAATCCCCGGGTGTTACTGGAGCTGGCACATGAAGTGGAAAAAACAAAAAACAAACAAGCAAAAAACCCAAAGACACCCTGTTTCAAATAAGGCAAGGAATCAATGACTGAATGTGTCTTCTGACTTCCACACACACTGTGATACTCAAATATTCAAACACAAGTGGAGAGAGAGAGAGAGAGAGAGAGAGAGAGAGGATAAAAGAAAGAAGAAGAAGGAAGGTCTAGGCTTAGAGGCCTTATGTGCAGAAGGTAAGGCCTTCCTACCTGCTTCTGGGTGCTGCCCAGCCTCTCCTGAGAGCCTGTAGGACTTAGCAAATTCCCAGCAGAGCCAGCCTGGGCCATGACACACTTCCTCTGAAATGCACTGGTGTTAGTAACCAAGACATGTGTTCCCTGTGTAGACGGCGAGTTCACTGCCCCCTCTTTCCCCTCTAGCCGGAAGGAGAAACATGGCAGAGCAGCAGATTTTTGCCTCATGCCCAGTCGCTTCACTTCCTCAGCCTGGAGTCTCAGACCCTCCTGGCCGCTGACCTCAACATCTTGCCCATCAGACAGCTGGTCTGGGGGAAGTTGGTTGAGCAGGGCTGCACCATTGCCCAGTGTGTGGAAGTGACATCTCCAAAAGTGTCTGTGTCGTGAGAGCCTCCAGAGATCTGCAGTACACCGGCTGTGCAGCTGTACCCAGCAAGTCCAGGGCTGAGGCCCTGAGGGGAGAGGGCCGTGCAGAGAGGCCATCTCTCTCCATTAGCCGTGGGTGTCAAAGCTACCCTCATCCTCTCTCCTGGTACCTACCATCCAATTGGTCTTGCACACAGAACTCAGGGGTGAAGACACGTCCCAGGCAGCCTGGGCCTTTGTTTACCTGTAACGTGAAGGTTCTCTCTTCTCCAGGGCCAGTCCTTACTCTCGGCCACCAGGCTCTTCCAGCTTGCTACTCTGGCCCTGGCCCTGATGGCGACCTTAGCCCAAGTGGAGGCCCAGAAGAGGGAAAGGCCCCGGTGTGGGGCTCACTCACGAACTCACTGCTTCATCAGCCCCCTCCAGTGTTCCACACACCCTCCCAGCCGCCGCCGCCGCCACAGTCTCCAGTCTCCACAGGTGCGAGTGGGCTGTCTGTCAGCCAAGCGCTGGGGTTCCACGACAGGGTTCCCCCAGTTCCCTGATGGGGCCAGGGAGGATGATCCTCAATGTTCTCCCCAGCTCTCCTTGCGACTCAAGGACCCCAGCAGTGGTTGAGTCTTAGCTCCTGGGAGTTCAGTGGATGTAAGGCTGAGGGAGGGAAAGAGAGAAGGAGGGAGGGAAAGACAGAGGGAGGGAGGGAGGGAGAGACAGAGAGAGAGGAGAGAGAGAAAGAGAGAGAGAGAGAATATCTGGTAGGGCTTATGGTATGGGTGTATGGCTAGAGCATGTGGATTAGAAGGAGAGAATTTTAATCTCAAATCCAGTGGGCCCTCACTAGGCATACCCCTGGGCATCCCTGTCTTTGAGGGAGGGAGAAGGCAGTGGAGGGGAGAGCTGCTCCTAGTTAAAGCCTCTGACCGCACAAACTTGCTCTCTAGTCCCCTTACACCTTTGTCTGTCTGCGCTACCTCGACTGTATCTGCCAGATCTTAATCCTGAGCTAGTCACCCCTAAATAGAGGCTCCTAGGCCTGTGCGCTGATGGGTGCCATGCCACCAGTGTGCATGTGCCTCGGGTCACTGTCATCTCTGTCCTCCAGCATAGATCCTTTCAGCTCTTACCTTCTGCCCTTGTTCTGGGTAACCTTTGAAAGCCAAGGGAGTTTGGGGACGCTGTCTGTCTGTCTGTCTGTTTGGACAATGCTGGGATGAAACTCAGGGCTTCAAGCCTACTAGACAAGTACTTTCCCACTGAGCGACACCTCCCAGCCCCAAAGGGAGGTGGGTTTTTTATTTTGTTTTGTGTGCATTTTGCTTTGTTTTGTTTTGTTTTAGACAGGGTCTCACTCTGTAGCCCTGGATGGCCTAGAACTCACTATGTAGCCCAGGCTGTCCTTGAACTCACAGAGATCTGCCTGCCACTGCCTCTCCCTCCTGAGTGCTGGGATTAAAAGCATGCGCCACCACCGCCTGGCTCTAAAGGGAATGTTTAAGATGGTTTGCTCGATTTTTCCTTCTCCCTGCCCAGCTACCCAAATACACTCACACCACACACCACAGGCAAATCCCCGTGAGCTTCCTGTATGCCTAACATTAAGACTGAGGCCTGGGCCTAGGAGAAAGTCCCTGGCTGAGCCTGGTGCTGGCCATGCATGCCCTGGGACCAACGGACAAGTGGGGAGTGGTAAGGGGAGCCAGAGGGAGAGGACAGCATGCTTTATAATTAAACTCAAATCAAAAAATAGAAACAGCATCAAGTGTGCCGAGACAGGCGGCTGGAAGCCGGCAGTACACACTGTCTGTCAGAGAAGACTACGGCCTGGGCAGGATCTCCCTACAGGTGGGTGAATGGCCCTAATTCAGGGGCCCCTGGGAACGCTGGGTAGTGGTGCCCAGAGCACCTCTGCCTGTTATATGTTTTGGGCAACTGTAAGGATTGGGTTGGGGGAGTCCAAACAGGTCAGAGGGAGAGGCACAGAACTCTGCCTCTCACCACTATATGACCCTGAGCCTCCTGCTTTATCACTCCGGGCCTCAGTTTTGTCATCAGAAAAGTGGGGATGTTGATCCTGCCTGCCTCATGAGAGCACTATGTGGACTCAGTGGGAAGAGGTGAGTACTGGGCTCTGTCTGGTCTGTCATGGGTTTCCTTGAGCTGTGAATATCATCAAGAAACAGAGATCCAGGTGAAACCTCCGCAGGGCACTGCTGAATCCTGAAAGGATGAGAGTGATTACGGCGATATAAATAACGGGATGCCCCATTTACGGGGCATCTCCCGTGATGCAGGGACTCGAGGAGGCGCATATCATTTATGATGTCATGGGAGTCTCCCAGCCGCTCCTAGTGAAGATTCAGACTCAGAGACTCTCACTCAGGCTCATCTCCCTCCAGGGGTGCAAGGATGGGCACTGGGCAGAGACCACCACAGGCTCACCCTTGGCATCTGCCTGCCATGGTCCCCAAGGTCCCTTTCCCAGTCTCCTCGATGCTCTACTCTGAGAACACCGTCCCTACCTGGCCTATGCTTCCCTAGGGAAGAGGGGAGGCAAAGAGGGGGCGGCTGGGGAGAGCAGGAAGAACGTGTCCGGGGTCACAGCTAAAGAGGTAGGCAGCAAACAGCTGTCCTGTCCCCTGGTGCCTGGGCAAGGCCTGAGGCTGCGGGCCTGTGGGGTAGTATTCTAGAAGGCTGTGGTTCCTGGGAGAAAGTGGGAGACAGGCAACAGAGAGCAAGTGTGTACCCCTGTAAACAGCTGCCACAGAGGCAGCTGCTTGCCTCAAACCACAGGGAAGTAGAGGCCAGGTATCCCAGGGAGCACCCTGAGGGGTATCATGAGTGTGAAGGGAACAGGCTTGTTCCTACAGGACGTTCAGCCATGTCTCATTCTGACATGGCTGAGGAAATGTCCAAGTCAGTGTCAAGCAGGGCCCTCCATAGACCAAGGGGCAGCAGGAATCAAAGGAACTATGTCCCTGGGCTGCCTTTGGTCAGGGGAGGGGGGAGTGCCTAAGGCTTAAAGAATGGATGACTGAGTGAGTGGCCTGGCTTTGACCGATAGGTGGGAGGAACCCTCAGTGGACCTGAGCAGATAACTGCACTACATATATCCTGAGCACCAGAAGCAAGGCCCTAAGTAGGACCTGATCATGAGAACCTAAGTCCAAGAAAACCTTTCCTACAGATCTAGGTGAGACCTGGAAGGCTTAAAAACTGCCCCTAAATCCCTGACATAGTTCTGGGGCACAGTTGTGCTGCCTGGCAGCCACTGGCCACCAGAGGGCAGCCTTACCCCACACCAAATTTAGCAGGCCTGTGAGGGGCCTAGGGTTTCCCCAAATCCCTGTCTGGTTCCACTCGGAGCTGGAGCATTCCACCGGGTGGCTCCAGGCCAGAGTGACTGTTGGACTCCTCTGGACTCAGGGGTCCCCTCCAACTCAATGTCCCTTGGTCCGGCGATACTTCCTACAGTGACTCCTGTCGCTTGCAGCCCGCAGAATACCAGAGAATCTACAGAAGTCAGGCAACCCAGCCATCTTTACTATGAGGAACTCAGGTCGAGACAGGAATGAAAACTCGCTTAGGCCACAGAGTGTACCCTGGCCAAGTTTTAAGGGAAGTCTGTTCTCTAGGTACCTCTTCAGCTGGTCCCCCATCTTCAGGAGGGTCAGAAGGACAAGTGTGTTCAATACCAGAGACACTAGGGGGAAGGGCCACTGCTTCAGTCCAAGCAGCCTCGGCCTGCTCTCATCCCCACCCCCACCCCCATTGGCTCAAATGCGTGGACCTGGAATTCTAGGCGCTTCACAACGTTTGTGTTCTGGACGGAATCTGCCTTGGCCCTGTTCCACTCACACGCAGAGTCCTGCCCCTGCACCCAGTCCCCCATTCCTGACCCCAGACCATGCCCTAGGTAGGTGGCAGGCCACTCAACCTGCCCTGAGAGGTCACAGTGGGGGATGAAGGATAAAGCCCGGTCCTCAGTTCCTCCCAGCTCATCATCCACCCGCTGGGTGAGCTTGGCCAAGCCAGTGGCCTCCTGGGTGCCTGTTTCTTTTTCTAGTCTTGGTACTGCCTGGCAGAGGGAAAAGATGCTCTACCCAGTCTGTACCTTCTCTAGTTACTCCTTGAAGGGACCAGGGGCAGTTGGCCAAGATAGGTCCCCCTTCCCACTACGGCACCAGGCCAGGGTTCTGGTGCCTCTGACACCCCAGCTCTGCAGGGTCCCGGAGGATGGCCTGAGCCAGCTGACTCCAGACACAGCCCACCCCATCCGGGTGAGGCCTGCACAGCTGCACTGGCCTCAGTCACGGGGGTAAGGAGGAAAAGCCTGGGGCCTATAAGCAGATGTGTGGCTCAGCCCTGACAGGCTGGTGACTACCCCCTGGCAACTGGAAGGTGTGGGGAAGGAACTGAAGTCACTCAGAAATAGACATCAACCCCAGCTGTTT